GAAGTGCCCCCCCGAAAGACCCGACACAATGTCGCCACCGCGCGGGGCGGTCACGGCCGGAGGAGGACTGCGCCGCCGCCGCCTGCGAAAAAACTGGCCCGTCGTCGGCTCCCGGGGACAGCCACGAGGAAAAGCAAGCGGGACAGGACTAGATCACCGCAATACTGTACTTGGAGAGCCTTGGGAGACAAATGGCGCTGCCTTCCTTGACCGAAATCACCCCGACCCCCCAAAATGTGATTTGCTGGCAGTGTAACGAAGCAACTGTCAGAATAGCTGGATGTGTGTTATTGCATCGGTCATTGGTCCCGATTTATTCCGTGAGAACTTTTTGCCGTAACTCCTTGAACGGAAAGCTGCTGAAATGAACTGGACAAAACAAATAATGGAGAATCGCTTTCTTGACTGACTTGACCGACCAATTTAAAAGTGGCCCTTCCATTTTTCTGTATGCGAAAACATTTGTCATACTCCATGGGTGCTCCTTTTCCTTGAGTCTCGTGCGTCCGCACGGGGGACCGACTTGGCTTTTGCTCTTGATCACTTGTGAACAGGAAAGAACTCTCAAGCAAGCAACAGTTTTTTGATTTTTGGTCTTATATTTGAAACTTTTCTTTTTTCTTCTTCACTCGGATATTTACAGACCACAGACGTCAACCGAATTGAACGACGCATGTCCAAAAAATGGGCAAGCACACATGATACCGTTGCCCTTACTTCGACAAGAGACCGGAAATTGGCTTTTCCATTTGGGAATATCAAACCTTTGCTAGAAATGATGGATGGAGGATAAGCGACGGCCGCCACGTCGTTCTCCGGAGGATGAACGAGGAGCTGCAAAGAAAGGTCCGGCTGCATATCGGTTTTGTGGCAACGTGCAAGAAAAATCCTTCCTACTGGCCACCGGCGTTGTGCTTGCGCATGTGCTCCATCAAGCTGCCCTTGTGAGCGTAGCTTTCGCCGCACAGCGGGCAGCTCAGGGGCCTTCCCGTGTGCGCGCTCATGTGCGCAACCACCTGCGCCATTTGCGAGAAGGCTTTCCCGCAAAGGGAGCATCTCGGGAGTTTCTCTGCTCCCGCGTGCTTCCCCATGTGTGAGCGCAGGCCTCCTTTTTGAGAGAACGACTTGCCGCAAACCGAGCAGCCGAAGAGCTTCTCGCCCGTGTGCGTTCGCGCGTGCGTCGCCAGGTGGGGCTTCTGAGCGAAGCGTTTGCCGCAAGTCGAGCAACCGTAGGGTTTCTCGCCCGTGTGCGTTCGCACGTGCGACACCAGGTGTTGCCTTTGGGAGAAGACTTTGCCACAGGTCAAGCAAGGGTAGGGTTTCTCTCCGGTGTGCCTGCGCGCGTGCGTCGCCATCGCCGCCCTGTGGGAGAAGCTCCGGCCGCAGGTTGAGCAACTGAAGGGTTTTTCTCCCGTGTGTTTTCTCACGTGCGAGAGCAGGCTTCCCTTTTGGCGGAATGTTTGACCGCAAAATGAGCAACTGAAGGGTTTTTCTCCCGTGTGTTTTCTCACGTGCGAGAGCAGGCTTCCCTTTTGGCGGAATGTTTGACCGCAAAATGAGCAACTGAAGGGTTTTTCTCCCGTGTGTTTTCTCACGTGCGAGAGCAGGCTTCCCTTTTGGCGGAATGTTTGACCGCAAAATGAGCAACTGAAGGGTTTTTCTCCCGTGTGTTTTCTCACGTGCGAGAGCAGGCTTCCCTTTTGGCGGAATGTTTGACCGCAAAATGAGCAACTGAAGGGTTTTTCTCCCGTGTGTTTTCTCACGTGCGAGAGCAGGCTTCCCTTTTGGCGGAATGTTTGACCGCAAAATGAGCAACTGAAGGGTTTTTCTCCCGTGTGTTTTCTCACGTGCGAGAGCAGGCTTCCCTTTTGGCGGAATGTTTGACCGCAAAATGAGCAACTGAAGGGTTTTTCTCCCGTGTGTTTTCTCACGTGCGAGAGCAGGCTTCCCTTTTGGCGGAATGTTTGACCGCAAAATGAGCAACTGAAGGGTTTTTCTCCCGTGTGTTTTCTCACGTGCGAGAGCAGGCTTCCCTTTTGGCGGAATGTTTGACCGCAAAATGAGCAACTGAAGGGTTTTTCTCCGGTGTGTCGCCTCACGTGGCCAAGCATCGTTCCCTTCTGAGCAAATTCTTTCCCGCAATGCGAGCACTTGAAGGGTTTCTCTCCCGTGTGCATTCTCATGTGGGCCTGCAGGCTTCCTTTTTGGGAGAAGGATTTGCTGCAAACCGAGCAGCCGAAGGGCTTTTCTCCCGTGTGGATTCTCACGTGTTCTGCCATCGACCCCTTTTGGGAGAATTCTTTACCACAGTGTGAGCAGCGAAACTTTTTCCCCCCCGTGCGTGTTCTCACGCGCCGGGCCAATTTCGCTCGGTTCGCCACTCCTTTACCGCAAACGGAGCGAGCGAACTGTGACATCTTCTTGTCGCAGAGCGCCGCCTCCTTCGCCGAGCATTCCGACTGCCCGTCGGCGCCTTGAGAGTCCGTGTCGCCCCTCGAAGGTTCTTCCATGTGGTCGCTGTCTGACAGCGGCGCTAAGAGGCCGTCCAGTGGCTCGCGGCCACTTGGTCCATGATGACGAAAGCGCGGCCGGTCGAGCGCTTCGTCGTCGTCCTCTTCGCTCTTTGCAGAGACACCAGTCAGGGGCAACTTGCTGACCTCAGCCTTGTCCTCTTCCTCCTTCATGTGGGAGGGCTGCGGATCCTTCCAGTGCAAACTGGAGCTCGCCCAATGCTGCTGAGGTGGAAGTTCTTCCCTCGCCACGTGCCCCGGTGAGCTGCTGCCACGAAGCCGCGGCGACGGGGGCGGTTTGTCTCTGTCTCCTCCGTCGCATTCGCCCTTCACGACTACGACGGTTGTGACATCGGCATCCTCCTCTTCCTCTTTAATGTGGGGGGGTAGAGGATCCTCGGCTTCCTCCTTAACACGAGGCGGCATAGATTCCTCCTGGCATCCACTGAGCCGCCGGACATCTGGAACACACAAGACCTTCCAATTGTTTGATTTTGCAAACGTGTTCGGACATCCGGTCCAAATGACCGCGATCCATCCGGTGAGCTTGCAATGTTCTTGTTTTACCGAAAGTGGAATGTTCAGGGGCTCATCTTTAAAAGAGCTTTCGCGTAAATCCATTCATCTTCGAAATTGAACACAGATATCTTTATGTTAACGACGTCACCGACTCTCATCTTTGAGATCTCATCTCATCAGCTCTAATCTGGAACGCACGTATCAGAATCTCCGAAATTCCCGCTCATCGTCGGCAAGTGGGACCTCCGACCTTTTATTTTTATTGTTTCTTTTTAACCGACCAAAACATTTGTGAAGAGAAGACTAGCACACGGACCTTGGATGATTTGAGAGGGACAAAATGTTTCCTGTTGGCTCTCGTTCTCCTCTCTTGATGGCCAAAGTTCCTTTTTGGACATTTTCATGCCGTTTGAAGAATTCACGCTCGCGCTTCGTCTTTGTGCACTTGAGACAATGCCAACTTCCGCATGTTCTTTTTCTACGGTGGCTAAAGCGTCAACGTCACCGCACGGCCGCCATCTTGCGGCGGTATTTATGGACGACCAAAAGTGTCCGAATGAACGCAATAAATAAAAAATAAATGAATGCGTCGTGAATTATTCATGATCATGCATGGTATTTATTACATCCTATTCATAGAGGTTTGGTTATTTTAATATGTATTGATTATATTGTGTGTTTATATTGTGTTTCTTCAGTCCCCCGCGTCTTCAGCGTCTTTTTAAGGTTGACGGGACTAAATCAAATCATTTCAGAATATACAGTAAACCCTTTTGCGCAAGGCAGTCATTGTTGCAAATCAAAGGATGGCGGTAATGAATTCGTACAGTTTGCCACCGCCGCGAAACACACAGAAGAAGATGGGGCGTAAGCCCCGCCCTAGTGACACGGCGCATGCGCACACACATACACACCTTCCGTGCAGCAACAGACGAGACCAGAAGAAACCGAGAAGAAAAAAGAAAGAATGACCTCTTTTTTTTTCCAGAGACTGGTTGAAATGATACATTTCCGGTAGGTTGGCCCACTACCACTTGTGGTGAGTTTCGGCTTCTCCTATTATGACGTCCGTTTGGAATGTTTACGCTGGTGTATGATAGCTCAAGGCTAACGTAACTGGGTGGAGACGACCACGCGGATTGCGCGTCAATTTTTCGTCATTTGAAGGAGGGGCAGGAAGCTTCAGAGACCCGACCCCCACGCGCGCGCACACACACACGAAGTGAAGGAGGCTGACCTCGTCCCAGACTCATCTCGCTGTGGTGCAGAAGAAGACAAAAAGCGACCCAAGTCGTCCCAGCTTCCACCAGGCAAGCTCTCGGCTCGACATGGAAGAAACTTTAAGGACCAACGCTGAATGGGAAGGTGACGACACACAATCAAAATGCTCTGAAAAGGAAATGTCACAAGTATACAAAACAAAACAAACAAAAACATGTTATCTGCTCACTTTGTGCTAAAAATTCTGCTACAAAACATTTGACACATGAGAACAGGAGAAAAAAAACTATTTTCTTGCCCAATTTGGTGTAGAAACGCAGTCCGATTTGGAGCCGAAGGAGCCGCAGTCCGCCCAAGTCAAAGAGGAAGAGGAGGAGGCTGCTGTCAGCGAGTTGCCTCTGTCTGATGTCTCAGTGAAGAGCGAAGACGAACGGCCCGAGCGGCCGCGGCTTCCGCCGTCGGACGCCCTCTTGGCCCCGCCGTCAGACCGTGACCACGCGCAACAACCCCGGAGCAGCAACGCGGACTGCGAAAGCGACGACAAACTGTCAAGCTGCTCCGAAAAGGAGACGACTCGCGGCAGCAAGAAAACGTCGCGGGGACCCGAGAAACGCGTGACCTGCTCACTTTGTGATAAAAGTTACACCAAAAAATCGACATTGAATCGACACATGAGAACGCACACGGGAGAAAAACCCTTTAGTTGCTCGGTTTGCGGCGCCACGTTCTCAAGAAAGCAAAGTTTGGTCACGCATATGAGAACGCACACGGGAGAGACACCCTTTTGTTGCTCCGTTTGTGGTAAAAGCTGTGTGACGAGACAAACTTTGGAAGCGCACGTGCGAATACACACTGGCGAAAAACCCTACGGTTGCTCATTTTGCGGCAAAGAGTTTTCTCGGAGCGGACCGATGCTCAGACACATGAGAATACACACGGGAGAAAAACCTTTCAGTTGCTCGGTTTGCGGGAAAACCTTCTCGCAAAAGGGAAGCATGCAGTCGCACATGCGGACGCACACGGGAGAAAAGCCCTTTATTTGCTCGACGTGCGGCAAAACCTTCTCTCAAAAGGAGAACATGATGACGCACATGAGGACGCACACGGGGGAAAAGCCTTTCCGTTGCCCGGTTTGCAGCAAAGCATTCACTCAGAAAGGAAGTATGGAATCTCACGTGAGAGGCCACGCGGGTGTGAAGCCCTTTCGCTGCTCAACTTGTGGGAAATTCTTCTCTAAAAAGCCCCATCTGGTATCACACATGAGAACGCACACGGGAGAGAAACCCTTCAGTTGCTTAGTGTGTGGTGAAAGCTATGCTCATAGCGCCAGCTTGACGCAACACATGCGGAAACACAACACGGAGAAAGAATAAATGTCTTTTGGGGCCCTTTGTGACATTCAAGACTGAGTTGAAGTCAATGGAATCCAATTGGGTTTTATTTTTCTGTCTAAAATGTACGCATTTGTTCTCATAAGTGGTATAAAAATAACACATTTTCTCAAAAGTCCCGTTTCATGTGGATTTTGTGCTCTTCGCGGCGCCTCTTCCGTCCGCCGGTCTCTTCGTGTTGTCAATACCGTCCCAAAATGGCGTCCATGTGACGTCACGGACGATGTGCCCATAAAGATCAGCAAAATTGCAAGGGAAAAAACGGAACGGAAGTGATCAAAATAAAAGGTAATATTAAAGCAATGGCGGGGGGGAAAAAATGACTGTCCCGTTGAGAAGATTCGGACCGTGAGAGCGTCGCCGGACCCCGGTAAGACTGCGCACGCGCACCAACCTACAGGCAAAAACTCGACGGGCAGAAAAATGAACGCAATCGTTTCTTTAGCAGACGGTGATTCGGAACGTTGAAGTAATAACTTGGCGGTTGCTTAGTAGCAATCCCCAGATCAAATCAAACGGCAGCAGTTTTGGTGAGTCGACCTTTCCTGTTAGTCCGCTTGTGATAGTTGTACGTGTGCGCGTGCTAGCTAAATGCTAACGTTGGAGCTGTGCGTAGACGACGAAGAATCGAGTAAAAAAAAAAAAAAACTTGACTTATTTTATTTAGATTAACAATTTGACGAATTGCTTTTTGGCCGGTCGTGCAGTTTCCGTAGTTTTATTGAAATTGAGGAGTTGAGCGTGTGTGTGTGTGTGTGTGTGTGTGTGTGTGT